TAGAATCTAAACCATGAGGGTAGAAAGGTTTTTGGAAACTGTTCAGGATGGCTTTCTTCTACCAGTTAGTCAAGAACCAACTTAGAACAATGCTATTTTAGACTTATTGTTAACTTCAAATATAGACATGATTGAGAGGGTGGAAATTGGGGAACATCTGGGTGCAAGTGATCATTGCTCTATTAGGTTCAATGTTTTGATGCATATGGTGATAAGAAATAATGATATTTTGTTTAAAAATTTTGAAGGGATGCGACAAGAGTTATCTGTTGTGAATTGGGCAGCCAAGTTATTTGGAGACACTGATCAGATTTGGAAACTTTTTAAAGATAAATTTTTAAATATTCAATGTAAACATATTCCTAATAGAAAGAAAAGGGTAGCTAAAAGTAAAAAACAAGGTTGGCTCATAAAGAGTTTAAGAAATGAAATTAAAGAAAAGCATCATAAATTTAGGATGTTTAAATTGGCCAGTATGACAGGAGACTTAGAAGATCAAGGAGGTTGGTGAAACAGGAAATACGACATCAAAAAGGATTTATGAGAAAAAGTTGGCTGAAAATGTAAAAATTAACAGTAAAGATTTCTTTAAATACATAAAGGGGAAACAAAATGTTAGGATAGGACCCTTGAGAGATGATAAAGGAAGACTAGTATCTGATGATTATGAGATGGCTGGGTTATTAAATTTTACTTTTTCTTTGGTTTTTACTAATGAAGATTTAAGCAGTATTCCAAATCTTTATCATTTGATAAATGGAAACGAGATCATACAAGATGACAGCATTAACTCTTAGCTGGTTAAGAAAAAATTGGGAAGTTTAAAAAATGATAAGGCTCCTGGGCCAGATAATATTTTCCCAAGGGTCTTGAAGGAGGATATATGAGTCACTTACTACTGTTTTTTTGTCAGTCCTTTAATAGTGGGCAGGTATCAGAGGATTGGAAGTTGGCTAATGTAACTCCCCTTTTCAAGGGAGGTGCTAAAAATTGTCCCAGTAATTATAGACCCATTAGTCTTACATCAGTTGTGGGAAAAATTGTTGAAAAGTGTTAAAAAATGCTTTGCAAAGTCATTTAACAAAGTTTAGAATTTTATTGGATAGTCAACATGGTTTCACTAAGATAAAATCTTGCCTTACAAATATTTTAACATTCTTTGAAAAGGTTAC